AATTTGGTGTGATTCAGAATTATTCATGTAGTTTTTGTTTGAGGATTTGTTTGGGAAGACTATAACTGTTTGTGAAATAAGTTGTGATATTTGTAAGGGGCTATTGATGCTATGAAGATTTAGGGCCCGTTTGGGGCAGCTTATAAGTGCAGCGACGTTTTTGAAAATGCCGCCTAACTGTTTGGTTTGTGTTTTTTTGAAAACAGTCTGCCACGTTTGAGTTTTTTATACTAAACGCAGGTCGCGGGTCGAACTCTGTGGTCGACCCGTAGATCGCATTTCAGGATAGGCTGCTTATCCTGAAATGCACAAGCTGCCCCAAACAGATTCTTACACACGCCCCTCAATGCCTCTGTGTTTACACATGTTACACTTGAATTTTAATTTGTTACATACATGCCATCTTACCTATGTATGGAAACGGGCGTTTCACTTTTGATGATAGTTAAAACACTAATTTTTCATATTATCATTTCGCATCACTTTTATATATTTATATATATATACAAGCTCAAGCTATAAGTGACTCGTGAGCTGAGCTCTATTAGTTAACAAGTCAATTGCAAGCTAGTCTTGACTCAACTCGTTAGCTCTTGAGCTAGCTCATTTAATAAAAATTTAAAATGAATGTACTTAAAATATATTAAATTAAAAAAATTTTCCTTTAAAATGTTAAAATGTTTATATTTTTTAAATATTTTAAATGAGTTATTTTTTATTATTTTTTCTCATAATTATTTGTTTTATTTATCATTTTATTATAATTTTTTTTAAAATTAATATTATTTTTTAATATATAATAAACAAGTTAGCTTGAATTTAGACTTGAGCTTAAGGTCCCGTTTAGGGAGGTTTAAAAGTGTGGCGGTGTTTTTGAAAAAAAAACACCGCTTTAGTGTTTGGTTAATACGTTTTCAGTGCGGTTTTAAAACCCGTGTTTTACTATTTAGGGTAAACAGTGAACGTGGGGCTATAAGCGCGAATCGTGTTTTGGCTAGACCATTTTCCTCTGTTGCCCTCGCACTAGTCTCGATTGCCCTATTCTTCGCTCGCGCAATCGTGCCCTAGCTACCAGAGAAGGTGTAAAGTGGTAAAACAAAGGGTGCATCCTCATCTCTTTTCTCTTTTCTTCTTCTTTGTGTTTTCGCGCGATCGTGCCCTGTTCTTCTTCTTCTTTGCTTTTT